TCAATCTGCTACTTAGAACTTCTGGAATTCTCCCTGTTTCGAGTATGGGTCCTCTGCTTTCAGTAGTACGGGCCCATACTACCTGCCACATCTACCCATACTTTCCACACGGATCGTCACAGATTTCGTAAGTAGCCGTTCAACCTTCTCGATCACCAATCCCGTTATGCAGGTTCGCCCTCCAGCGAATACTCTCCTCCGTCAGCGTAATCATCTGACTAAGTTCACTCCCTAGGCTCTTCCTAGGTTCTCCCACTCCTCTGTCATCAGCTGCTGAAGAACTCCTCATGATGCCAGCCATCTACCTCCTGAATATCGTCATATTCACTTAGTAGTTGTCTCCCATCATCAAGAGTTCCACAAAGCACGAAGCAAGCAACATTCAGGCATCAAATGACCCCCACTAACACATAAAGCCAATCTGGCATATACTTCCTCTTGCTCTATTCCCAACTCAAAAGACATTGCCGACTCAGGCAATCCTACCTCTCATGGTATCTAACTACTCTACTCAGCACATACTCAAAAGCACATCATAGATAGCAACAATTCCTAGGCTAAGGCATCACAAATCAGGCAACTCTAGTCCAAAAATATGTAATACCTAGCCTATCTCTAGCATGTATAATATCTCATAAAATATCTCATAACACAAAAGTAAGGGTATTTTGGGAAATCACCGTTCGGGCTTTGGATGATTGTACATACTGCTCCAACTCATTTTCTCTTAAACTCTTTCTCATTTTTAGAAAAATTTATATCTTTTGAAAGTCTTTTCTCAAATCCTCAGAGTCCAAACATACCCGAAGGTGCATCCGAATCCCTCAAACCAAGGCTCTGATACCAACTTGTAACACCGTAAATTTTCAAACAAAATTTTCATTTAAAAATCACATAATTCTCATAACACATTTCAAAAAAATTCAATTTGATTAATTGACAAATACAACTCCATAATTATTTAATTAACAATCCAGGATCCTCAAAACATGACTCTTTCTCTAGTGTGTACAATGAAGCCGCCGCCTTCCCGCGATCCTGATAAGAACCTGAAACACATAACACACAACACGGTAAGCACGAAGCTTAGTGAGTTCCCCAAAATACCACATACAACACATTAGCCACTCGAGGCTATATCACTGTAAGACCCTCCGGTCTATGTGTCTCAGTGGGACCCTCGAGTCCCACGACTCATTGGACCCTCTAGTCCGGTCTGGTTGGGACCCTCCGATCTATGTGTCTCAGTGGGACCCTCCAGTCCCACGGCTCATTGGACCCTCCGGTCCGGTCTCGGTAACACATAACATAGCATATATATCACATAGACAAAATGCATAACTCAAGTAAGCACATAAGACCCTCTGGTCACACATAAATACCACTCAATGTAAAGTATAGTGAGAAGACTCACCTCGCAAGCAGGTGAGCAAATAACCTCGCACTCGGATCTCGAACTAGCCTCCGCCTAACACAAAGGATGAATATCTCTAATTAATACTCTTTTCACGAATCAAATAACCGAAGGCTAATCTTTCTCTCTCTAACTCTTTGAAGTGGGTAGAAGACCATTTTACCCCTCCATGGTCTCTATTACTCATGTTGACCAAAACCCCAAAGTCAACAGAAGTTAAACTCGAGTCAACAGTCCATGTTTGACCCGAGTCGTCGAGTGCACTCCTGCGACTCATCGAGTCCCCTCGTATCCTCAGAAGTCTAAAAAAGTCTAGCTCAACTCATCGAGTTGACCCCCAACTCGCCGAGTTATCGGACAATCAACCCATCGGGACAAACCCTCACCGACTCGTCGAGTCAGGCCATGGACTCGGTGAGTCCCTTCGATCAGATTCCTCATTCAGACGATTTAAGGCAGATCCATCACTCCAAACACTAGATCTACCATCCTAAGGGTCGATTGTCACGTAAAGCTGCAAGCTTTACGTTTAAGCATGGCATATAAGACTCATAATGCCAAAACATGCTCCCAAAAGGACTAGATGCACAAAAGCTAGACTCTATCTCAATAAAGCTTGGATCTTTGGTCTCTCAAGTCCTTCTACAGTCCAGATCTGAGGTTTCAACCTCATGATATGCTCAAATAGCTCATTGCCAAGAATGGATGGGAGAAAACCCTCAAAATCTCCCTAAACTAAGATCTCACAAACGAATGGTGAAGATAGGAGCTTTTTACCTTTGCACTGAAGCTAACCATTGAAGAACTCTGGATCTACAGCCCCTCCTTGATCGAACACACCAAGCTCTCCAAGTCTCCTTCAAAGGATGCACAAAACCACTCAAATTAGCTCCTCACTCACTCTCTAGCTCTCATGATGATTAGGGTTTGCTCTCAAGGAAAGGTAGCCGCAAATGAGGCTATAAATGCCTTTAAATAGGTCCCAAACCCAGAAGATTAGGGTTTCTCTGCCCAACACCTACTCGGCGAGTCAGCTCTCTGACTCGTCGAGTCCACTCATTAATTCCACGCTGACAACTCGACCCTACTCGGCGATTCGGACCCATGACTCGTCGAGTCTCTCTATAAGTCTCAAGGTTAAACACACCCATTAAGGTATACGAAAGTCCGGATGTTACACTTTTTAAATGATGATCTTGACGAGGAAGTTTACATGAAATAACCAGAAGGTTTCATTATGCCCCGTAAAGAGCATATGGTTTGTAAACTTGTCAAATCTTTGTATGGGCTAAAACAAGCGCCTAAAAAATGACATAAAAATTTTGATGAGGTTATTTTGTCTTCTAGTTTCAAGACAAACCAATGTGGCAAATATGTTTATAGTAGATTTGATGATGCTACTAGAGCTGGAGTGATCATTTGCTTATATGTAGATGACATGTTGATTTTTGGTACCGACCAAAATCAAGTAGATGAAACAAAAAAATTGTTATCATCTACGTTTTCCATGAAAGATTTAGAAAAGGATGATGTAATTCTTGGAATAAGAATTAAAAGGATGAACAAAGGCTTAATGATGACTCAAAGTCATTATACTGAGAAAATTCTCAAGCGGTTTAATTTTACCGATTGTTCTCCTGTGAGTACTCCTATGGATCCAAGTGTGAAACTAATGTCAAATAATGGCCTTCCCATTTCACAATTGGAATAATCTAAGTCTATTGGTAGCTTGATGTATGCCATGACAAGTACCATACCTAATATTGTGTTTGTTGTGGGTTAGTTGAGCAGGTAGACTAGTAATCCTGGTGCACAACATTGGCAAGCAGTGAATAGAGTGTTTAAGTATCTCAAAGGAACCATGGGTTATGGTTTGAGTTACTTGGGGAGTCCTTCGGATTTAGAAGGTCATTCGGATGCAAGTTGGATAACCAATATGGAGGACCATTCCTCAACTTCTGGTTGGGTATTCTTGCTTGGGGGATGTGCCATTTCTTTGGCTTCCAAGAAGCAATCTTGCATTACAAACTCAACAATGGAATCTGAGTTTGTTGCGTTAGCAACTTCTGGTAAAGAAGCAAAATGGCTAAGGAATTTAGTCTATGAGATTCCTTTGTGGTCTAAACTGATAACACATATATCTATCCTTTGTGATAGTGCAACCGCTTTGGCTAAGGAATATAGACAGGTTTATAATGGCAAGTCTAGACACCTAGGTGTTAGACATAGTCTGATTAGAGAACTAATCATGAATGGTGTGATTTCGGTTGAGTTTGTGAAATCGCAACAAAATTTGGCAGATCAGTTGACTAAAGGTCTGACAAGAGACTTAGTGTACAAGTCTGTAATCGGGATGGGATTAAAGTTCATTTAATTTTGTAATGATGCGACACCCAATTCTCTCCTAATATAATGTTAGGAGTTGAATTCAATGTGGAAAGCTCATACTTATAGATTGGAACACATGAAGTCTTCATCCCAGGTATGTGTTCGGTTCTACAAGTTAACCAGGTTGAAGTTTCACTTCTTAATAAATCTTTTTGATAAATGTATGTGCAGATACATGGAAAGGAGTTACGTACGTGATTGTGAAGTGTAGCCGCATTTCAAGAGGTTGTGGACTAGACCTTGATACGATCATGAGAGGATTGGGACACATGGCTTTATAATAGTGTTAAGATGTATTTTGCTAGAAATTCAATAAACTAGTATGTATTTTACTTTATGGTATTCAAATGGGTTGATGGTTTCAATTCTTAGAACACCCTGATTCTCGAGTATTTGCAAGTGTATGATACTAAGTGGAAATTCAATCGTTTCGATATTTTCATTATGTACTAGTTTGGTTTGTTTTGATAAAGTTATGTTTGTTCAAGGGTTACACTACAATGGGGGAGGATTGTTGGTGATTTTAGCATCATCATGTCATTTTATGTAATTGGAACTAACATGTGAGCTAAGGGCCTTCATAATTTGTACTCTAATATATGTACGGCTTTGTGCGGAGTGCATGCATGTATAAGATCGTTAGAAGCCGGTTTGATGACAAGACGGGGGTCCGGGGGCAGCGCCCCTGGGTCTGGGGTTTCCAAAGGGGCAACGCCAAAGGTCAGAGCCCTTTTGGCGGGGTCTAGGGGAAGTGCCCCTAGCGGGGTCCAAGGGTCAGAGCCCCTGGCTGGGTCTAAATTCGTTAGTGGGAAATTCAAATTCTTGAGGGTGGTTATGGTAAAACTAACAAAATTCGTTAGTTTCGGAAACCCTAAATCCTCATTAAATTTCGGATTTCCTAGATTGCTTCCAAAGCAACCTATGACGGCCAACCCTAATAGAAACCCTAATCTCGTTTATTATATAAACAACTCTTCTCTTTGAGAAGAGATACACACGAAAATTTATTAGCTCTCTTTTTCTTCAAACAGACAGAGAATCCTTCTAGAAATTTGGCTTACGATCTCTGTGCCTAGAATCGTAAGTGTTCTCTTGGATTATCTTATGCTGAATTTCTTGTAACCCAGACATAAGGTAGAAATATCAGTTCGGAAAGTGTTCACACGATCCAAGTGGTATCCAGATCTCCAACGTAAACCCTATTTATTTCTACGTACACAATTTCAAATTAAAAGGAAAACCATGACACCGTTTCCGTTATATAAACATGTATGTAAATAAAAACCATGGAAACAACAACATCAAATTACCAAAACTTCTTCTATATCAACATATTCCTACTCTAAAAAGAAAAAAAAAACGGGAAGGCCCTGCAGCTATCTTGATTCTACCAGCACGTCTTGAGTTCCACCAATTTGGTTGTTGAAGCAAACACCATTTGCTTCCACTTTTGATGATTCAAGATGCAAACCACTGAAAATATAGAACAAATTAGACATATTTTTAATTTACTATCTTACTCTAAAATATATGAACAAATTAGAGATATTTGTAAAGATTAAACCATTTTAGGACACAAATATGACATTTCAGCAACCATTCCAGCAAAGATAAAACCATTTCAGCACAAAATATGAGCATTTCAACAAAATTAAACCATTTCAGCAAATATTAAACCATTTCAGCACACAAGAATCTGAAAAAATAACAAATTCTAGAAAAATAAACCATTTCAGCACACCTGAATCATGAATCTGAAAAGAAAATTCAACTTTTGCAAATCAGCATAACAGCAACATCAACACACAAGCAAATCAACATAAGAAATATTAGAAAAAACTATGAAGGTGAGGCAAATCAAAAATCGATTTCATCATGTCTATGACATTTCAGCAAACCGGAAAAATTATTTAAGCGAAAAACAACAATCGATTTCAAAAAATCAGCACAACAAAAATCGATTTCATGATATGTTATAAGAAAGGTACCTGCCGATGCTAGTGATTCATGAGAGCTGCAACGGTGCGACGAGAAACCAGAGTCGAGGAAGGCGACGACGAAGGGTTGAGGTCGATGAGGTGGCGGTGTGAGGCTGCAACTACGGTTGTGACTAATCATCTACGATCATAAACAGCGATGGAAGAAGGATGGAGCGGCGCTGTATGAATTTTTTGTGTATCGTTCCTTTTTTTTGTTAGGGTTGAGAAGTGTTTAGAAGTGGTTGGGCCAATGCTGCATCAGGAAGCACATTGGGCAGAGCTTTTTTAGTTAGAAGTCTTTCAAAAAACAAACAACTGTGAAAACCTAACTGATGCGCGTGCTCTGCACAGTGCAGCCAAAAGTGGTTTGAAGAGGTTTTTTAAGAAAAACAAACAACACCGTAATCAGTACATATAGCTACGTAAAATATGTTGTTACATTGACTCATGCAATAACTAAAATCAATTATTCAACCACAAATTGGTGCAATTAATATGTAGGTGTTACTTGATTCCGATTCAAGAAGAAATTTATTCCGTTAGCATGAACAAGTAATGATTTTCAAGTCATAATATTGTATGTGAAAGGAAAAAGATAATGATGTAATGATATTCCATGAACATGTAAAGATTTTGAAGTCATGATATATAATATTACCATTTTCTGAAACAAGAACTCCAGTGGAATCCAACACCCGATTACCATGGTTAGCTACCCATACCACTCTCTTTAGATCCATGGTATACCTTATCCCCATATCTTCTTGAATTTGATGTTTCTCATGTGGAAAGAAACCCATATGAAACTTACTATACTCTTATGAGATTCTAAATAATCAAGATTCAAGACCATGATAGATGAAATACCCTCCTGTAACAGTAGCAACATAAACACGTACGCTAAAAATGAAAACATGTTGAAGATATGGGTTTTGTTTGGGTGTTAATTAGTGGCTCAAGATATCATCATGCATGATTCTTTCTGAGTATAATTTCGAACCATTTAAGGAAGATGGGATAGTGTGAGATTGCGTGAACATCTCCTATTTATATGCGCGTCAAAGCCAACTTTATTAATTTCAACACTTTTAGTACTTATTTTTACTATAGATCATTTAACTTCGATTTTACCAGCGTAATAAATTCAATACTTCCCTGATTCTACAAAATTTACAAGAGTTAATTAATTAACTAGCAGTAGTACTCTATTTACAAGCCAAAATAAACGAAATTAGATTACCATTTTTGCATTTACTCCTAATAAAGATATTATATGATGACCAAAGGGCTTCTAGCCTAGCGGTATCCGGTGTTGCCCTCCCTCCTTGAGGTCGAGGGTTCAAGTCTCGTGAGAGACATATGTGGAGATTTAGGTGTTATATAGGAGTAGAATAGAATAAATTTGTTGTTCCAAAAAAAAAAAAGATATTATATGATGCAAATGGTCGGTGTTTAGCTCCTTGCCAATTGCCAATTTCTCTTTTTAATATATTTGTTGTTTTCCAAAAAAAAAAATACTGGTAGCCATCCTATAATAGTACTCCTACCAGTAAAGTGAATGTGGAAGAACTAATGAAACTTTATAAAGTATGGTATGGTGAGAATTAGTTATAAAATCAGGACATGTTGGTTGTTATCGGGTAAACATTTATTTGTTGCACAAACCATACATGGTGTTTTTTGTCATTTCATTGAAACAAAAACCACCCACATTCACCTTCACATTAATTGACGCTACCATCCAAATTTACTTCCACCATCCATACATCGTTCTTGTATAGTTTTTCGAGCTTGTCTTTTTGCATGCTTCGAAAAGCACCAATGACTTGCAAGTCGTTAAGCTATCAATATTATTACAAAACCAACTTTTGATTTAGTTTTTAGGCCAGCTTTAACACACTACTCTCATTTAAGCTTAACACAATTTCATTGTTTTTTTTTTTTTTTTTGAAACGGCGGAGATTTTATTAAAACCACAGCTTAAAGAACAAGACTAGAGAACAAAACAAACGAAATTACAAAATATTAAAAGGGTAGCAAACTCAATCCGCCCAATTACAATTCTCATAATTTCCCCTATGTTTAACCCAACCAAAGACCACCATGAGTATATTATCCGCCAACTTCGAGGAGGAAACTCGAGCCTTGTTGAAGAGGCTACCGTTTCTGGCTTCCCAAACACACCACAGATAACCATAGATGATAGCCAAAAGAATTTTTCGTTTTTGGGACAATTGCCTTAAACCACAGCAAACTTAACGAGATCATCCACCATTACACCAACTAAAAGTCCACCTTAACACATTAGAAGCAAAAAGAGCAACCCAATAGAAAATGATCAGTCTCGTCACTCCCATCATTGCATAAATGGTAGGAGTTGTTGGGGAATAGAAATGCCCCTATGCGAGAGCGCCACTGCCGAAGGGATTCTATCAATACAAGACCTCCAAACAAAAACAATTACCTTCACCCGATCCAACTTCAACCTGTTAAATGTGACTCGAGTATTTGGAGCATTCTCATGTAGCATCTGGAGCATTCTCATGGAGAATTTGGAGCACTTAGATCTCAATGGAGCACTTGCGGTTCATGAAGCAAGTGACAAAGGAACGAATCATCTGAGATGGCTTTGGATCATCAGACAAAGGAACTGATCAAGTGACAAAGGAACGGATCTTCCAAAAGGAGGTTTGGAGCAACTTGGAATGGTTTGGAGCAACTTGGAGTGGCTTGGAGCAACATGGACCAACTTGGAGCAACTTGGAGCACTTGGAGCACATGGATCAACATGGAGCACTTGGAGCACATGGATCAACATGGAGCACTTGGAGCAAACTTGGAGCACTTGGAGAAACATGGAACATGATGTTGGGCTATGTAAAAGGAAGGTGCGCCCGCCTTGGGGATGTTGTTCCAAATGATAACATGATGCACCATCATGTCTGAAGTTGCGCCAAGGTGATGTTGAGCCAAGGAGATGTTGAGCCAAGTAAAGATGTTGAGCCAAGGAGATGTTGAGCCATGAAGATGTTGTTGCTCCATCAAGAAGGGAAGTTGCGCCATGAAGGAGATATTGTGCCATCATGGTCCATCTTGGTACATGATGCGCCATCTTGATTCCTTTTTTGTGCCATATTGATCCGCGTTTGCTTAGAAGATGATCATGCTCAAGAAATACACCATGTTGTGCCACCATGATGGATGTTGGACCATTAGTGATCATGATGTTCCACCTGTGCATCATGTTGCTCCATTATGGTCAATGTGGTCTATCATGTGTGTTGTTGATGCTCATGGGTTGTATGACATGGAAGAATGTTTTAGATGATACTGCATGGTAGAATATGATTGGTTGTCACCATCCATGGGCCTATGGCTTAATGGGCTTGGCCCATTAGGGTTTTAGGTCTGATCCCTCAAGTATAAATAGGGATGCTTGCTTAGTGATCATTTTATGTGTCTTGTATCTTGTATCCTTAGTTAGTAGGACAAATCTCTGGCGAATAGTACTTGTAACCTCTGTTTGAGAATTCTAAAATAAAGAATACTCCCCTCCTACCCGTGGAAGTAGGTCACCTTGACCGAACCACATAAATACTGTGTCTTTGCATGCTTATAGTTTTACTTGTTATCCACATTACTTCCTAACAATGATCATCAGAACTTGGCAAGTGGCATCATATTTGTTTTGAGTCTTTACAAGTATTTCCTTATTTCCCTAACACAGACAGTCAGATTCGGCATAGGAACTGTTTACTTTTTGTCAATAAGAATACGTAAATCATGCACATAAAAAATCATGTCATTAGAAAGCTTGGCCTTCCAAAAATCAGACTCACAATTGAGCGAGATCGAATCTGCAAAGTCAACCAGATTTCTAATCTCCACAACCTCAAGATCACTAGTGGGAACTCTCTTCCACGCCCCTTTTAACCTGTTGCCAATAAGCATTTCCTCAATAAAGCAAGAGTTCCTCTTGTCCAAAGAAAAAAGAAAGGGAAATCGAGAGGCCAAACTACCGCAACTCGTCCAATTGTCTAACCAAAACAAGTTACTGTTGTCAGATCTAATTTGAAAATCAAAGATGGACGAAAAAATCAATACCAGTTGTCTCGACTGCAGGCACAACCTTCACAAGGTTGTGCCAGACACCAGCGAGAGTTTTTTTTTTTTTTTTGCTAGGGACGCGATAGGTTTTCCTAGAATTGTTGTGAATACCACAGATTACACGCCTCCAAAGGGAATTAGGCTCATTTTTAAATCTCTTCATTACCACCCCAAAGGAAACGCATGCGATGTTTCTCAAGAAGCTCGATAACAGAACTAGGTGCCTTAAAAAGAGAAAAGGAAAACAAAGGCAAGCTCTCGAAGACCGACTTGACAAACGTTAACCGACCGCCAAAAGAAAGATATTTTGCCTTCCAAGCGGAGAGCTTGGAATGGATTTCTCAACTATGGGCTGCCAATTTCTTTTACGATTCATATTTGCACCAACCGGAACGCTTAAGTACTTAAAAGGGAAGGAGGCTGCTTCACATCCAAGAATTCTAGCACAACTTGATATTTCATTGTCTGAAACACTGCTACCAAACACCTTTGACTTATGAAAGTTAACTTTTAAACCAAAAGCGGCATGAAAGTAGTTAAGTATGCGAGACAAGTTGGCAAAGTTTGAGCTCACCCAATTCACCACAAATAGTGCATCGTTAGCATAAAACAAGTACGATAATTCAGGCCTATTATTTCGAATTTGAATACCTTGAAAGAGAGATTTTTGACATGCGGTTTTCATAGCAACATTTAAACCCTCCATGTCAATGATGAAAAGGAAAGGAGATAACGAGTCTCCTTGCCGTACACTTTTTATTATGGGGAATGCCTTTGTAGCTGAACCATTGATAAGCACAAAAGCCTTAGAAGAAGCAAGACACCCTTTTATAAAAAAAAATGCATTCATCTCCAAACCCCATTTGACTCGTAACCGATTCTAAGTAAGTCCAATTCATTGAATTGAAGGCTTTGTCAAAATCGACATTTGAGAAGAAACAACTTTTCTTTGCTCTTTTTAGCCCACGTGCAAACCTCATTAATAATCAAGGGTCCATCGAGTATGTTTCTACCTTTGATAAAACTGGTTTGAACTTCACCGATCACCGAACCAATAACCCTTTTTAGTCTAGAAGCAAGAGTCTTGTCATCTCATCTTTTGTGATGTCACCTCAATAATATGCTCTCCTTGGTATTTCTTAGGGAGTGGCAGTGACGGATCCATAACGAAATCTAATTGGGATTTGGTCTATATATATATATATATATATATATATATATATATATATATATATATAATGGTAGTATAAAATTATAAAAATGTAAAGTATTTTTAGGTTTTTTTAATAAATTTTTTTTATATAAAAGCTATTTAATGTAAAAGTGGGTGCTAAAGAAGGGGCTATTAGTAAATATATGAATATTTGAAAGGCCATTTAGTAGTAAATATGGTGGGACCCACTATCAAGTGGGGTCCTTACACCCGACTAAATGTGGCTGACTCTGCCACTAAGGAGTGGTAACACATTAGATCCATTTTTTATTTTTTATTTTTCAAACTTAAAACAAATTCTAAAAAGTTACAAAATGAGTGAACGACTTAACACATTACTATAAATATTCTTGATATAAAAATTGCATTAAATAAATATTTTGTGGGGAATATACAAATCTAGGCAAAATCCTTAATTACTTATCCAAAAATAGCCAAAAAAACACATTAGTTTGGACACAGTTGACTACGGTCAACGGGCATTGACTACGGTCAACGCTTGAAATCTACTATTTCGTGGTAATGAACTACTGTTTCACGGCCCATTTACTTTTTCGTGACTCATTAACCTAAAGTGTATAATGTTTAATTTTCCAGATTAGGGCATTTTTCACTATTGTTTGTTGGTTTGCCTACTTTTTCCTTTCAATGGAGCACCCGAAGAACAACGAGGTTTGTGTACTTTTCATCAAAATTTTACCAT